AGGGACTTAGTCCCACCCCACTATCGTTAATAAAAACTACCAGATTTTGAACAGACGCTGTACCATCGTGTGCGTCAGTCAATTATGTGGTTCCATCATTGCTTTTAAGAATAAAAGTCTCGAAACCAATTAGAGAAATTTATGTCGCGATTTTCAGCGTAAAGAAATGGAACAGAAGTCTGGGTACACGCATCCATACTGTTCCAGGAATCCGAGAAAACACACTGACCTAGAAAGGGTAGAAAAACAATTAACTAGAAACTTAATAATGTTGATTTATGACTAGAGATTTTACGCGGAGTTTCCTAGCTTCGTCAAAATCGTGAATTACGTTCTGATATTAGACGCGGAACGTGACCAGCGCAAGGATCTAATGACTGGCAGTCCATTTATGTATTAGTACAACTCAGTTGCAGGCAGAGAACGAGCCTTCACATTCTATGGGCAGCTACAATTCATTCTTGCCACACACACACAAAACTGAATACTGCTGTATCTTGTTACACACTGGTACATGCAGACTTTAATAACAACACAGCATTTCAACGCTTTTAAATGCATGTAGTTGGTGTCTATGTATCCACAGATCATTAAACCGGAAGCGCAATTCGTCACAATTTTCTATTAACATCGGTAACTGTACACTCAACATGATTAGTCCGATATTTTGCCGCTATATATGGGACATTCATTTTAAATATGTAAGTGATTCAAACTGAGAAAATGGTAAGATCAAGGTTCATGAGATGGGCGGGCATATACAGTGCGTTCAACCATCGAGGAAACCGGGGAAGCGGCGTGGGTCGGATACATTTCTCACAGATTGCTGCTGTAACTGCCGATAGAGGAATGAGTCATCAGCGCGGATACAGGCGCACACTCTCGCTAGCGTAGAGCGGATGGAACGTTTCTCCGCGACTACTGTGCCCTTCCCCGCTATTGAGAGTGCAGAGTCATGCCTCGAGCGGGGATTCGAACCCACGGCCGCAGCGTTCGAGCAGGCGAAGACAGTTCATGCCCCAGAAGGCGCGGCCACTGTGACCGGCGTTTTCAAATACAGGCAACACTGAAAATGAGACCCACAATATTTCTTTTTGATGTCTACAGAGGATATGCGTCACGTATACCGGAAGATGCAAAACTGTTATGTATATAGCGATCCTAACCAGAAGCGTAGCGCCACGTTGAATTATATTTCCTAATCGTTATCAGACAAACGAATCCGATAAAATAAAACTCCAGGCAGAAAATCACACACACTCACCGCACAATCCCACAGTTCTACAAATGCTGTGTTGGTGAAGTACTTCCATAATAGAAGTTTAAAATACAACAACATATGCATTTCTTTGTTGAGCTGTTGTGTACATGATCACAGGATCGAATCCTACCTGAGTTATAACTAATTCTTTGCAGTTTTATATGTATTACAGATTATTATTATTATTATTATTATTGGCGTTGCTATTATTAATTTTCCCTACTTTTACTTGTTCCTACTTTATAATTGGCCTTTTGGCTGCTGAGTAAGCACTAAATAAATAAAGAATTAAACTTAATTATCATCAGCAGCAGAATCATGTTTTTGGGAAGCACTTCATACTAAATATTGTTTCTGTAGAAGTTAAGCCTGTCGCCAACCGCCATATTGGTTCCTTTTTCTCTTTTGTGGGTTACTTAACGACGCTATCAGTAGTTAGACTATAAAGAGCAGAATGGTAAGAAGAAAGATGAATTGAAAGGATTTGGAAGGAAATGACATTGGTCTAATCGAGCTACCAGTTTTGAATTTGCCTGGATGGATTGAATAAAAACACGAACAAATTCAATTAAGGCAGCCGGTGTCGGAACCAAGACTCAAACGGAGCAACCCCAAGAATATGTATCAAGAGCATTAATGGTACATTCGGCGCGATTCTGGCAATTTCATGCATAATTTGTAGGAATGTTTAGATCTAGCATTCATATTCATAGCTCAAATGGCAGATTAGTTAGGCTGTCAAACTGAAAAGGCAGACGAATATATTTGCACTTCAGTATTGTTGGTCTGAAGTCTAGGAAAAAAATAAACTGCCCTAATAAAATCTGCATACTTTTCCGAGATCTATTAACATACGGTATTTTTGGATTCTGATCGAAAGGAAACAAATGATGTACTGCAGTCAAGTGCCAAAGTTAAATTAAATTCGTCAAACACATCAAAACAGCGGGTTACACAACCTCCAAATAACACATCAACTATTCGCGTGCAGAACGCTTATGAGAAGAGAGACAAAATGGATGAGGAACAACTCCTAAACAGTATGCTCGCATAGTCTACGTCTAGAGGAATACAAAACAAAACAAACTCCGTGACCTGTAGTCCGCAAGCGAACTATACCGACCAAGCAACCGCCGCTTGTCGGCGAAGTTAGTGCCAACTTTTGCGGATAGAGGGTGTCACGTGGTCAGCGCAAGGGATCACCACGGCCGTTAATCTCGGTTTTCTAGACCGTAGCCGCTATTTCCTTGAAATTGCTCGTCAATTATCCTCACGAGGCTGAGTGGACCCCGTTCCAGACCCACTACTTCTCAGTAAGGCTGGTAGCGCCGGGAATCGAACCCGGACCTCTGGATCTGCAGGCAGGAACCCGAGTTCCATAGAGACCACAGAGGCGTTCTCTAGAGGAACACAACTTTAGCTTATGTGAAAGTATGATTGGTACTGGTGTCAGGGGACACAGAACCACACACGGCTAGCTCAGAAGTACCGGACGCTTCAAAGTTGACACATGCCATATGCAGAATCTTCTAGAGGACGAGGTTGTCGTCAGAAGAGGGCTCCTGTTACTGCCTTCTGATAAAAACCTGAATGCTGTCATTCAGTCCTACATGGCAGACTCGATTTTATCCCAATACCGACGACGGCGTCACCAACATTAGTTTAACTGAAATCAGCACAGGAGAGATTCTCCTGTTATAAAAACTCTTTCAACTTCCACGGCACACCACAGAAAGTACTGTGAGATCGTGAGAGAGCTCCAAAGAAAATCGGAAGAGACAGTCGCTCCTCGTGTCAACTAGATGCTGCATACATCCGGACGAGTAGCAGACTCGACAAACCACGATTACAATCTGTCTTCAGTACCGGCCCAGGAAATCGTTTAGCAGCTACCGTGAGGCTGGTTTCTGTACTACTGTTCTCTTACACGGATTCGCGGCAGGACGTGGCGACATTTCAGAAACCCCGATGCCATGTGCAAGTCGTCTGAGGAATCTTCATGGCTATGATTTCCCTTCAGTGAGCACTCGATGTTTTGACTCGGTTGTTTATTCTGTCAATTACAACCCTCTCTGTCTTCATACATTTACGATTGGGTAACGTAGTTGGTTGAGGTACTATGGTACAAACCGGATGATAGAAGGCTCGATTCCCGATGAGGTCACCGGATTTTTCAATTAACTTAATCCTTCTAGCCGCACTATGGCAATGGGGTCGATTCAGCCTTTCACAGAAAAGAGTACTAGGAATCTTCCTGGGAGTAAAGGGTGGCCGAAGCATAAGGCTGACAACTACAAAATCTGTGAACCTACTGTCTAGTAAATGTGGGAACCTCGACGTCTCACAATCCTATCGGCTTCCACGGCCTGTTACAGGGATAGCTTTACTTTTTTACGAATATTTATTCCATTTGGAACTGCCACATCCTGAAATTAAATCCGAAATAATTTCTTTACTTTTCCTACAGAAAAACTTTTTATGCAAGTATAATACATAAGCACTAATATTTTCTTTTGCTTTGCTATATAACGACGGTGACATGTATAGGATCGGTGAGAGAGTGGCAAATGAATATGGAGCAGCTGGTGAGATGAGAACTGGCAGGGAAAACCGAAGTACTCCGATAAAACCTGCCCCAGTGCCTTTCTGTCCACCACATGCCCCAGCGTGTATCTCATACATGTCAATATCCATCCACACAAGCAACAAGGCCGACTGACAGAGAATCACCAGAGTTCTGGATGAAGGCCGGCACGCAACGCATAAGCTCCCTTCGTGGTAGCTGTTCAACGATTTATTGAGGCGGTACTGAAGACAGACTGTAATGTGGTAAGCCTATATACTCTAGGTTTGTCAAGTGCGCTACCAGTTTCAATTTAGCCTAGGAGCATCTGTCTCTTCCTGAGCTGCGACATGATTTTCGGGACGCGCTCAGACAACGGCACTGTACGTTTAGAATACTGTAGCCTAATATTCTAAATCACACTAATAATATTGTTTGCAAATGGCAGTGTTTCCCCACATGTACACGGGGCCCCCTAATGCAGTTATTTAGCGCTCATCATCCAAAATTACTGAAGGAAAAAAATTAGTAAAACTAAATGCTTAACGTCTTGAAGACGAAACATATTTTGATCTGCTAAATATATATAATAGGTTACACCTAAAAGTAATTTGGATATCCCGCAAAATAGAAATCAGTGTTGCCGTAAACGGTCCAAAATTAAAACGAGTTAGTAAATTTCAATGAAGGTTCAGTACAAGGTTTATTCAAAATCCGTTGAACCTACTGGGTTAACACACTGCGTGTCTAAAAGTCAGGCCTGGGTGCGTACAAAACACGTCGGTATCATATATCTACAGCATCTATCTGTCTGTCTGTCTGTCTGTCTGTCCGACCATCCATCCATCCATGTTCCTGTTGTTCCCACTTGGAGCACAGGGTATCCGTGAAACGCTTCGTTTCACTTCAGTTTCATAATCGTAGTCGGTAGGGCTGATTGAACGGGGGATTAACCCGTCGCAAGGCCGCTACCTACACAGAACAACATAAACACAGAATAAACGCAGACAAATATTCATGACTTGAGTGGGATTCAAACCCATCACCCCAGTGTTAGAGCGGACGAAGGCATTTCATGCCTTAGACCGCGCGGCCACTGTGATCGGCTATCTACAGCACAAAGTTTTAAAATGAGAAAACGGTGCGAGGTTATTATGAACTAGAAACAGTACTCACATTCTTGTGCTCTGCGTCGAGGGCGTCCCACATCGAGGCAACAATCTTGGACACCTCTCCGAAACTTGCGTTCGGATTCTGACCTTTGATGGCCGCCTGGGTGTCCCGGAAGAAGAGGGCGTATGCAGACACGGGTCTGGAGAACATAAAATACATTAAGAAGATACATCACTTTTCAGTTCCACAGTACGGTCCGATGGAATCGATACGATAAGACTTACATGTATAATGCACTAATGCTTATAACTGGAACATCCCATTCTAATGCTGCGAATTTATATTAGCAAATGACGAATTTAACAGCAGAATATACTGGCAAATGAATGCTTTCATGAGCTCAGAATAATCTTTTATCTTTGTTAAAATAAATAATAGTGACAGAAATACAGGGTGATTCGTTTGGGTATGGGTAAAGGTATAATATTTTAAAACATGGACTGTTCACTTTTATTGCTTTATATATGACACATATGGCCTTCAAAGATGGGAGACGTATCCCATAAAGTGAGGTCCCCTTGCGGACACGGAGAAAGTTCACAACAGGAGCTCGGCTCTTCCCACGTGTCATTCAGCGTCTCCGGTATGATATGCATGGGGTGCGGCGATCTTTGTCTGCATCATGGATTTCACCCTTCTACTCATGTGAAATGTCGCCTAACATGAAAACGGCTACATGATCAAAACTGTGTGTTCAATTTCATTTGTTCAGCATGCACGAAAAGCGAAACACATGACTCACAAAATGCCTGCTGTTGTGATTAGCCACATTCCTAGGAATCGTAATATCGCCTAATTTCCAGGTTGTGTTAACATATACGCAACAGAGAAGCGATGTACCGATTAATACTTTGTTTCCATATCACTGTACCTTTATCCATATTCAAAGGGATCACCCTGTATAATTAAATTTGTTCTTACATATTGGCATGAAACTTGGTTCTGACTTTGGAGCAAGAAGAAAGTCAGGGAACATAGTGTCGAGGTAAACAAGCAGTCATAGAATAAGTCGTGTAACGAAGGATGAGATACAACTATGCAATGGAGAGCTTTAGAATTGCTACGCTTCATGTATTATTGTTTTTGTAATCAAATAAAGGCAGCTACGTCTGAAGGTATTATTTTTTTTATTGCTAGCGCGGTGGGACTAAGTCCCTTGTACTGCAGCCACTTCTGGCCTATTGTACCAGCCCCAGACGATAGGTGAGGGTGATTGTGGAGCAACTGGTGGAATGAAGATTGGCAGGGGAAACCGAAGTACTCGGAGAAAACCTGCCCCGGCGCCACTTTGTCCACCACAAATCCTACTTGACCAGACCCGGGATCGAATCCGGGCCGCCGCGGTGGGAAGCCAGCGACTAACCGCTTGAGCTATGGCGCGGCCACGTCTGAAGGTAAACGTAAGATGTAACGGGGTCAAATGCAGAGGGTAATTATAAACGGGTCTCACACAAGCAAAACATAAATTTGAATAAACTGGCTCAGGAAAGGTTTTAAGGGGGAACTTTTTTGGGAACGGTGACGAACTTTCGGGCTCCTTAACGTGGTATTACCTGATCACAAGAACAACTATCAAGCGCCGAAGATGATCTTGTAGTATGAAGCTGTTACTTTAATATGAGGTAAAAAGCCAAGTTGTACCTGTGCTTAATAACCATACCATGTAGAAGTATGGGGAGTGGAGCTACAGCTCCAGACATCTTTAACCTTGGCACTAAATTGACGTGAATGTTCAGCTTCATAGGCTTATGGAAACAGACGTATGATAAGCAGAAGTTACCGGTCGTCGCCTGTATCAGTCTTGTATTCCCGAATACGCCACTTGAATTCCACTGGCCAGATCGGCAAAGGCAGTACGTCAGTCAATACACACCAGTGTGCAGCAAAGTCATTAAAGAATATTGTCATACACGGTTTGTCTCCCGAACAGAATCGCGGTACTCGGCGGCTCCTAACTTTTTTTTTCCTTGGCACTACAGCCCCAGTGGGGCTAGGCCTACCTCCATGAACTTCCCCATTCACGGCTCCTAACTTTATGCCAGTAATCATGTTCAAGTATAGGGATCAGTTATACGTAAATTTGTCCCTGTGCTTAACTAATTAAGCACCACACAATGAAGGCGTATGGGGGAGTGGATGTATGGAACCACACTACTTATAATGTAGTAAACAGAAATGTTATGTCTGATCATTGTCGTTAAATGCACATTTCACTGTCATCTGGACGCAATGTCGACACTTCGTCAGTGGGGTAACTACGCTATTATGACGTGCTGCGTCTTTGTTTCTGTCCAGAGAAGGCGTGGCTCGTTGGCATCTCTTAATATGTCTCCCCCCTTTTTTCTGTAATTGCTTCCTTGGATTTAGAGAAAGCAACAAATTAAATTATTTTGTTCCGCGTTTACCAATTTCTGTGTGCGCTGGAATTGCGAACAAGGTTATTTTTCTTTCTGTAAAGCAAAGTTGTGCCTGTGCTTAATCAGTTGGGGAAGTGGAGATACAAGACCACCATTCTTGAACTCGACACTGGATGGCAGTGGTTGGCTTCACGACCCTGCCGCTTTATTCCTAGGGAACGAGCCAGGGGTACCCGCTGGATAGGAGGCTGGGTGGTCCTAAGAACTGGTCTTGCACTACCAGGAATCGAACCCGTGCCATCCAACCGTTAACCCGTCGCTACACTGCCAGTAGCTCGCCGCGGCACAGAGAAGACGAAACAGCAGTGACGTCATGCAACAGTACTGAACTCACAGATCACTAACACTTACTGAGTACCAACATGTATACACACTGAACGTTCCCTTACAACTAATGGGCTCAATTTTGAAAGAAAATTAGGCTTGCCCCCTTCTTACCTCCCACAGTTGAGCCCATGAGGAGGCAACAAGAAAGTAGAAATATTTCCTTCTCTACTATTCTAAACTGAATAAAAACATATGAAATATTAAATAAGCAGTAATGCATCGTACTTAAAATGAAGAAATGTGATGTCATAAATTTACGACTGCTTAAAAATGAAGGGGATCCTTTCCAGTTTATAGGCAGTAAAAGAGGAAGACGGGAGTGGCAACCATCTCCAATATCCCTATACACAATTCCATAGTCCCAAAACGTTGTAGTTATTTCCAGTTTCAAATATATTTTCCAGTCATGTCTGTATACAACCTTTGTTGTAATTCAGAATGATATATATTATAAATACACATAAAACAGTATATTTAAGACACACAGCATTCACTACTTTACTCAGTTGTGATGGATGCATCAAGCAATGAGAACAGACATCTCGCGAAATCAAATTATCCATGTTTTCTCTCCACCCGCAGGATGGCGCAGCGATGCTGTGAGGGGTAGGAGATGTAGGGGGATGACGTCATATGGAAAGAGAAGCTTCTATTCTTGTCGAACGAGGACGACAGAGATGGGAAGATGGAGGAGAGTTACAGAATGGTTCTTTCTGTATAATCAATAAAACATGGCCCATTTGAATTGCAGTATTCGTCTGTCAACCAGACTACCTCATCTCTGATACTCCCTCTCGCCCTCCTCTTCGCACTCACCCTCCCCTTTTCTGTACGCTAGCCGCCATTGCCTGCCCTTGTAAATATGCTATGACGAAAATTGGAAATTCATGTATCCGACTGTACAACAACGAAGGGAAAAAAAAAGCAGTGATGTCCGTGGATATTTGAGGCCGAAAACGGTCGGACTGATAGCAGATAACTCTGTTGAAGATATAATTGCTACTAGCAACATGTCCGCCAAAAGTAAATGAGCTCTACACAAACTTTATACGTCTTTCTTCATCCTTTTCTTTCCATTTCGAAGATAAAAACTTGGTTCTTTCTCTTTCTGTCAGAAGTTTGATCCGTTAAGGAAACTCTTTGCTTTGCTCAAGGCATCCTTCATGGGATGTACGCGCACATACACACAAAAAGTGTATTCACCTTTCCTTAAGAACTTACTTTGTCCCTACGGACAGATGCACCAGTTGGCTCTTTCCTCATGTCCCTTGCTACTGGTTGGAACAAGTGAAGTGATGGTAAGCTGAAGAGAAGATTGCGAAGAAAAATATCACGCTTATGCCTCACGTGACGTCACGCGCTCGTCCTTTGTTTGATAAGCAACTAAATCGGTGGTAATCCCAAGACATTCCAAGCTAAGCGTTGTAAAGCTGGTATTCCTTAAGTTATGACTACCGTCTGAATGAAATTAAAGTGTACTTGGTTGCTTTGCTGGAGAAAGAACCCCCAGCCAACTTATAAAGTGAAGGCGATTTTAATTAAACGCAATCAGCGGTGGTAAGAGGCAATCGTAGGAGACGCTACGTAATCCGTCCTTCCCGCCAGCTACTTCCTACACGTTAATTACATAATAATAAATAATTTATTTTCAGTTTTCAGTTAATTAAAACTTTTAAAGCAGTCATTAATCACTGACGTAATTTGTGTCTTGTTGAAATGTGGAAGAAATTTAGAAACTCACATTCAGGCTGCGTTTATAATGTAAAACGCTGAAGAGAGATTACACTCCCGCAAAAGTCCCTGGGAAATCTTCCAACGTACATAGAACATTTCGACTGAAACGAGCTCCTGGTTTATCTTCATTATGAATAAAACGACTGCTCTTCTTTCTTATTGTTTTCTACCTAGAAGCGAACTTCTGTTGTTCACATTTTCTGCAAGATACGTGTACTGAATTGCATTTTGACTGCGAATTGTATTCATTAATATCAATCTTCACTTTGTACATTAAAAGTTTCTGAAATGCATTTTAACAATTGGGAGTATAGTACATGCTTGTGACACCCGCCATAATGCTCTTTATGGTACAGAAGTTTCTATTAGTTGAGGCTGGAGATCGAATATCGAACGCATTCTATAAGTCCCGCTTTTCAAATTGGACAAATCGATAATCGGCACGGAAAACGGCGGGGGTCAGAAAATGTACCACACATACGCACACACTAATCGTATTGTCACGCGATTGGGTGCATATAGACGGGGTTAGGGCAGGTAATCAGATCATATAAAGTCTTCTCAGTTTCCACTAGCCGTTGCTTGATAGTGGTTTCCAACAGCGGACGTTTTTCTTTCCTCTGGGTTCCCGAACTGTCCCCGGGCTCAGCTTCCAGCTTCACTTTTCACAATTGCAATTCTCCACTGACTCAACAACTGAACTACTGGTCCTCGTTATACAGCCCCAGCACGGACCACACAGAAAACGTCTTTTCCAGTATTACGTGGTCTCTCGTTTGCGGGGAAACGTGTATACTGAGGTGTTCCCTAGGAACAGTTATTGTACTGTGGCCTCTTAACACAGTTGTTACTTGGCAGTGGGTCTACATGTCGCACTGCTCCTTCCTTAAGGCTCTTCGTCCCGAGTAGCCTACATGCTTACCGCCATTTCTTAATATCTGGTAGGCGCGGGCAAAACTACCCTAGAGTGGCCGGCGCTCCTACATCTCTGGCACTTCAGCTGTGGGTAGTCTCTTCTTTCTCTTGGGCGGTGGCCGGCTTCTCCATAATGTCTTGACAATCATTTTTGGAATCCCGACGGAAGACCCGGCTGCTAGCTTGATGGCTGCCAGAACTACGATCTCTCTCAGGGACTCGTTGACATATCCCTTGCTTCCCAGTCGTAGATGCTGTTTCAGACCTCGGTACCTTATGCCATTGTTGCACTTCTGCTGTGCCCGACGTCTCTTCTCGACCATCGGTCCTTTATGACTGCGGCCCTTACGTCGTGGCGAGTTAACCGTCCGCGGCGCCTTGCGGCCAGGCCGGTCTTTCAGAGTTCCCACCGTCAATACCGCAGTCTCTTCTTTAGGAACTTCCTGATGCTCAGCTACAGCTTATGTTTCTTTTAAATTCGCCTCCAAATTTTGGCCTTCCGTGCTTCTGTGCCAGTCTTACTTTCAGCTTCCGTTGGTTCCTGGCCTCCTTCTTTTCTAGACAAGTCTCCGTCGCTTCTATCCGAGCATCAATCCGGGAGATGAAGGTACCTATCTGAAATTTCATTTCGGCCATTGTTTCTTGCATGGTCTCTGCCCTGGCTTGGTGGGTATCAATCCGGGAGACAAGAATGCCTCAAAGAACCTTAAACTTCTTGTTATTGGCCTCTGTCATGGTTTCCTGCCATCTTCTGGCGGCTACCAGACGTTCGAAATCCGCCGTAATTATCCGTCTCCTGGGTTCAAATCTGATGGTGCACAACTCACACCTCAATTCAATAGATCAATCAATCCTATCCCAATCCTTGAGTGACTACAGATGGGTATTGGATTTATGACAGGATTATTGGACTCTTTGATGCATAGAGCGCATGACTACACTTTACAGTTCACTATTACACACAAACACACACACACTAGTGTCCACAGTCACGTCTTCAATGAAGTTGCTTGGTATCGGCTTCCAACGGCCGATGTTCCCCTTCCCCTGGATTCCCGAATGGTCCCCGGCCTCAGCTACCAGCTTATAACAGCAACATCTCACAATGACTGTACCCCAGCAGTCACCTAACTCATTAATTGACTAACTGCAACAGTTAGAGTAGTTTGCCACCAACCAGTCCGCCTTGGCGCCAAGGCTCATGAGGCTTACGACTCTTTGCAGCTGAATCTTTGCGGTCAGTCTTTATGTAACATCTTCTCTGACGAGAGGATGGGTCTAACTGGTCCTGCTTATAAGATTTCGGCCTGGACCGCATAGAAGACACCGTTCCTCTGTTGCAGTGCAATGTTGCTGTGGAAACATGCTTCTTTGCTGGGCCGTCACTTAACATCGGCTGTTGTATAGTTGCTTATTTCGCGGTCGTTGCCTACCAACGGATCTACATGACATAATATTATTTCCCTTTACTCTTTATCTTACCTTGTAACCCTTGAACCAACCTGCTCAATCATCCGGTAGAAGAACCCTTGAATTTAGTAACACTAGTGTCAATGTCGGCCATTAGATACTTTCCCCGGCTAGTTTCATCCATAACTCGAAACCCATATGATCTACATTAAGGTTATATCCCAGTCATCTTTTCTATCCACTTTCAAAGACGTTTCCTCATTATATCTCTGGATTTATTTCTAATCGCTGCCATTCTAACCGTATGCCCAGCCCGCAGTAACCGCCAAGATTTCATTACCCCAACGACAGTAGCCGACCTACATAGATCAAGAAATTCCTCTCTATGAACATATGCAAATATTCCACATTTGCATTTGTTTCTTCATTACCAGCTCTGCATTGCATATTTTCCTGAGAACTCTGAATCTTTTTCTACTCAACACACAAACACAGAAGAGAAGAGAAGAGAAGAGAAGAGAAGAGAAGAGAAGAGAAGAGAAGAGAAGAGAATAAACGAATGTGATTTTGTGGAGGTCGGTAGAAGATATATTAAACAACTGTAAAATGGTAAGGCAGGTACTTACTTCTGAGGTTCATTTGGGTCTCGCTTCTTCTTCTTCTTCTGAACCTTGGGCTTCTTCTGAATTTTAGCCAGGCCGTTATCAGCTGGCTCTGGCGACGGCCGCTTCATACCAACCATCTGCAAGGCGAATATTAATTGTTATTCACAATAATACTGTCTTCCTGCATTTGCGGTTTACCGCAATCTACAAGTCGCGAATCCAATAAGAATGACAGCGGTCCTTCAATTGCCAAACGGAATATGAAAACTGTGAAAGAGAGTATCTTCGGGGATATAACACCGTATACTCGGTTGAAAGTCAACTGACGTTTCGAAGAAACACGTCGCCTCCATCTTCAGGAACGAAGAATAAACCAAACAAGAAACCTGTGTGAAGTAGCTAACCATGCTGATTTCTTGTCTACCTTATTGTTCTACCCTGAAGATGGAGGCGACATGCTCCTCCGAAATGTCGGTTCACTTCCAACAGACTACAAGGCGCTATATCCCAGAACACAGGACTCTTCATAACCACCGCTGTGAGAACCTCAACTCCTAGAACTCTGGAAAACATTGCCTTTTCGAAGCAAAGTCCGTATATTAACAGACAAATCTAAAAGAGGTGAACAGAAATTGAAGTCCGTGCGTTATGGACAGATCTAACATATTCATTGCCCCCGGTTACTGTCAACATTGGCCACCTGTTCAGTAATTATTAGACTACGGGCATTTCTCTACAGAGTCCTAATCTTCCTCACCAAGGTGAGGTGAGGTGCGTAATTATTAATTCGTGAACAGCCTGCAAATAGAACCTAGCCAGTAGTACAACTACAAGGTTAAAAACGTAGTTTATCCTGTGCTTAATTAAGCACCATGCCATGAAAACGTATGAATGGAGGCACAGTTCCACAATTCTTAACCTGGGCACTACATGGAGGAGAGTGACCAGCTTCAGGTACCTGTGGTACCCACTGCAGAAGCAGCTGTGAAGGTCCCAGTGCTGGTGTGGACGCTGTGGAGAAGTGAAGATTTCTTACCCCTGCAAGGAACCGAACCCCCGCTGTCTAGCCCGCAGCCCGTCGCTATATCGACTGAGCTAGCCCGGTTCCCTCTTCCATAAAAGTCTAATATAAACAAGAGTTTCTGCATGAGGTATCTTATTACATACGCTCAGCGAAATTTATTATTTCAAAAGCAATTCTAACAAAACTTAAAAGTCGTCAGAACTTGGTCCCTTTTTAGTAGGAAAGAAAAATCACTCAAACTTTACACATTTATAACTGTGCTTTTATAGTCCGACTTTATGTTGCAGAACAACCATTTGCAGAAGCTATTTCGCGAGAGAGAAGAATCTCTTTATAAAATGGAGGAGATAACAGGAGATCGAAAATTAAAGTGTGAGAAGAGTATATGGAACTTTCATAACTTAAGATTTCTCTGAAAGAAGTGCCAAAGATTACAATATCGAAGTAGTCACTGCGAGTATCAGCAGGAAGACATGTCAATGTGCTTTCATTTCACATCTCATGCAATGTACGAGGACAATATCAGATTATGAATCAGCCAAGTATAGTTAAACCTATCTATGTTGGCCACCTGTGGTTCCACTAAAATAAGGCCAACTTAAGCAGGTGGTCAACATACAAAAGACAGTATTAACATTTCCCATTTCGGTGTCTGTAGTGACTACATTACATATGTTCATATTACTACAATGTTCAGAAAAATGTTTCTCCAGAGGTTATTAACAAATTAATTGCCTAGTTTATATGTTTTTTGTATCATTTCATTGTTTAAGTTCTCCAAATCTCCCAGGATTTTATCAATGTTCTTGTGAGCATGTAAAGCTACTGACTTGGCCACACCAGACTCGTCATCAGTTGTTCACTTTTGTCTATCAAGTCCAAAATCAATTCTTATGCTTAATGTTTATATAATTTAAGTTCTTTCGCTTTGAGCCCATTACACGATTTTTTTAATTAACAATTTAAATTTTCTATTACACGACACTGTGTCTAGATTCTTATAGAAAGAATGTTAAGATAGGGCCTAGTTCACAGAGAAAGTATGTGACTGGATATTGCTTGGAAATCATAATTTCTTTATAGAGACAGATGACTGAGAATTACTTACTATAAAGCATGACAAAGGTCCAAAGGTCAAATTAGATTTGTACTTCTTGGGATATCTGAATATTGCTACATTATAAATAAGAAGTTTTAGGAAGAACTAATCGCTTACTTTATTTGATACAAGGACCGNCCAAATCCCAGAAGACTGCTTTCTTCATAGTCACCGCCGTGAAAGCCTCAAATCTTACATGACCTGGGTAGCCTAAGAATTAGGAAGGAAACAGAGACAGCTGGACAGACACGGACATATGCACAGAGGTCAAGATGAGTTCATAAGTCTTTTATTTGTTTTCAAAATAAGGATAGTAAGCTAATAAAAAGGGAAGCCGGAAGGTTGAAGGTTCGATACCCGATGAGGTCATTGGATTTTTCAATTGACCTAATCCTTCCAGCTGCACTATGACCCCGGTGTCAACTCAGTCTCCAACAGAAATGAGTACCAGGAATCTTCCTGGGGGTAAAAGGTGGCCGGTGCGTAAGGCTGAGAACCTTACCGCCATCTGTGGAACCAAGTGTCTAGAAAATGTGAGAGCCTCGACGTTTCACAACGCTATGGGCTTCCACGGCTTGTTACAGGGATAGGTTTACCTTTTTTTACTTTTAAGTACCCAAAAGGGAAGAAACGGGTTTTGGCAGGTGCAAACAAGGGGCGAAATAGTGGAGAGGGTTCTGTTGGTAAAGGCTGGTACATTTTTCTGTGTGGCCAAAACTAAAAGTTTAAAGTATACAATTGCCCGTCCCTTAAAGTGAGATAAGCAAAACAATGAACCGCGATTACCCAGGCTTCCTATTCACTAGGTACCTGGGATGCTTTCCTCAAGGATAAAGCGGTCGCAGCATGAAGCTGATCACTCACATCGACACAGCGTCTGGGTCAGAACCGTGTATGCGTTTATCTGAACTACTACCACACCCCTTCAGGCGTGATACTTAAGCACTGGGCACACTTTGACTCTGTGCGATGTGAAAATCACACGTCTGCTTCGCATCCTAGGGGACAATAGTCTTCAACTCTACCTTTACGTTGCAAGCAAATAATATGGGCGCTGATCTTTAAGTACCTTATTTCGGAAACAATTGGCCAGTGCCGATCCGTGGACTACAGTTTAACTCTTTAAAACCCAGTGGTTACTATATGTACCACCCACTTTAACATACTAAGGTGGCACAAACATGTACGAGTCTGGCTCGGATTAATTTAACCACACACGGACGACTTTGGCTCACTGGAACCCGAGCCGAGTCGGACTCACGAGCCAGACTCGTACGTGTACGGGCCCCTAAGACCTTGGATGCTCAAAGAGTGTATTTGTGTTTCGTACGGTTCTTACAATAAAAAGTGGTCTTTTCCTTAATCAGCGTTAACCGATTAGTCTTTTTAGCGGAGACGTAAATGTCTCCTGTGAGGTACGAACCGAATTTTTATCACAGTTACAAAAGCATGAAGACGCTCACCATGGCAGAGTGCGGTGTGCTGTCGTCACTGTCTTCACTCGTGGTTGTGTTTTCTTGACCTGTAGGGGGGCTGCTACGTTGAGGGGAGCGACCATATGTTGCCTGCAGCTGTCCCTGGGGAGGCTGTCCGTGGGCCAACAAGAGCTGTGGGTGCTGTTGCTGCTGTTGTTGCTGCTGGAGCATCAAAAGCTGAGAGCCGGCTTGTCCTGGACCGGCCATCGTATATGTCGGCTGAGGATTGCTGTATGTTGAACTGCAAACACAGAAGCCGTACGTTACCACCATTAAACTCCTTAATTTCAACAATCTCCTTCAGTGCTGTTCGTTAAAACGAATGTGGCAACATGGCAGAGTGAAACAGGAAACACCGCGCGGGAACATGACTCAACATGCATAATTTGTGCGTCGCAGCAGACAACAAAAGACTTTTGGTATGCCACTGCATTTAGAACCCTTCTTGCCTCACAGGTTACTTTGCGACACTGTCAGCATCTGGACTATAGAGCGTCGACGGTAGGACAGACGGACAATAAATTGGAAATGGCTTGAAAGAAAGCGGTTCTGACTTAACAGAAGTACCATCCCGAAATTTGTCCGGAGGGGCTGAGGAAAACCACGAAAAACAGAATAGCCGGTCTCTGCCATGATTCGAACACAGCACCTTCTGAATACAAGTGTGGAGGGTTACCGCTACACCAGCCTGTTAGGTGTTTTGAATTCAAATGTGACGAAACACACATAAGGGTTTCTCTGAGACAGGATGCCGTGCAGTTTCCTCTAAGTTTACCCACGTTTCGGAGGAATGTATTGTCCCCACATTGCTCTGCTTGTTTGGGTGGCTTATTTCTTGAGCCTGAAGATGAGAGGCAGTATGTTGCTCCGAAACGTCGGTAAACTTAGATTCTAAAGGGTTCTGACGATGGTGTATAATATTCAGAATTACTGGGTTTTTGGACTTTGTCTATCGTCCGGTATTCTGGAAACTAGAAAACACAATGTTTCGGAAACTGGATCTGTTTCCGTCCTCAGGTGAGAGGGGGGGGAGACACCTACTCTCTTGGGTCCCTTAGAAAGTGAGGTTAACTCTTTCTAAGGGATCCAACAGAGTAGGTGTCACATGTGACCTTTCTGCTTGTAGCATAGGGCTTCAACCAACTACGCAACCTAAGGNTCTTGTTTTTCACACAGATAGAGTATTTGAAAAAGCTGTCCAATTTCTTTCTTTCAGTGAACTCCGTGGTTTTAGCCCGCAAGCGAACTATACCGACCGAGCGAACGCCGCTTGTCGGCGAAGTTAGTGCCAACTCTAGCGGGTAGAGGGTGTCGCGTGGTCAGCGCAACGAAACCCCACGGCCTTTAATTTCGGGTTTCTAGACCGGATAAATATAGAACCATGTTGAAAATAGAATCTAAGTCATTTTCGAATTTGAAGTAACGATCTACGTCACTAACTAACGGTGACGCATCCTCTTCCTAGTATTAGATGGAGTGTACTGTACTTTTGGCTAATATATAAATACACGGAGATCTATATTCTGCACAATGCCACGCAGAAGCTGCTAACAGGGGCTAGGCTGTGCTCTGGCCTTCCGACAAGTAGCGATCCGCTTCTTGGCAAGGCAAGCGTCCAAGCCGGGCTCTGGGGGCACATCCAGCCTCCTGTCTTTCTCCCTGGGAGCAAATGGGCTCGGGACGTGAAGCTGACCACTTGTCTCAATCTAGTGCAGAGTGAACAGTGGAACTACACCTCCATTCTCCCATNTGCTCTGGCCTTCCGACAAGTAGCGATCCGCTTCTTGGCAAGGCAAGCGTCCAAGGGGGGCACATCCAGCCTCCTGTCTTTCTCCCTGGGAGCAAATGGGCTCGGGACGTGAAGCTGACCACTTGTCTCAATCTAGTGCAGAGTGAACAGTAGAACTACACCTCCATTCTCCCATACGTCTCATGGCGTGAAAATAAATTACGAACAGGGACAGATTTACCTTACTAAAATTTCATTCACATAATTAAGCTCTACATCACAGGGCAAGAGTTTGACGATTTCGATGCTCAATAATACCGGCAATCATACTTACCTTTACGGGTTAAAGCAGCTTCTTCACCTTCACGGTATTAAAATTTATAACTGATCAGTGAATCGTTTTATATATTGATCTGGGAGAAAACTTTTCTGCTAATGTTTCACAGTTCGACACCAAACTACTAACACCAGACACACAAGAAATATATGGCGACCCTCTGAGGCATGATGACGTTTTATTTGGTAGGTTCGTATCCTTTCTCTGCCTGAGCAACACGAGAGTTGCTTACCGTACTGCGTCCTCTTCCTGGAACTGATGAAGAACATGGTTTCATTCATAGCCTGTCCCTAACCGTCAAACAGGTCGTGTTCAGAGGGGAGGGGTGAACACCCCTGACCGTAGTTAGAAGCTATACTTCAGGTTCTTAATAAATATAACTTGGGGATGGGGTCAATAAACGGCTACAACTGAGTCGGTGAAAATAAGCCATGAACTAGGAAACGGTTCTAGACAGCATCCGCGCAAATATGCAAAAGAAAATTACCTCAGTGGTGACAGCCGGCGTACGAAATCTAACCTTGCATTTATTTTGCTCAATTAACAACGCTTTTCCAACTGCACAAGTTACGCCTATTATTATGGAGGCGAATGAGGAATGTCAGGTAGGATATAGATGAAGACGTGAGAAGCTTGTAGCCTGACTTAATGTACTAAATTTGGCCATGCGCTTAAGTATTTACGTAATTAAGTACCAGGCCATGAAGATATATTTGGGAGTTGAGATATAAATCCACCATTCTTAACCTGAACATTAAAGTGGTCAGTTTACACCCCGGTTGCTTCACCCCCGGTACCCATTGGATAGGAGGCTGGGTGGACCGCAGAGCCGGTCTGGACGCTGTAAAGTTAAGGTAAAGTTGTCCCTGTGCTTAAGTAATTAAGCACTACGCCATGAAGGCGTATGGAGGAGTGGATGTAGAGATCCATATTTTCTCGATCTCGGCACCAGTTGGAGGTGTGGTCAGCTTCACACCCCGTTCGCTTTACCCCCGGGGAAAGAGCCTCTAGTACCCATTGGATTTAAGGCTGAATGGACCCCTGGACACTGTAGATTACATAAAGACCTCTTGCACCTTCCGCGAATCGAACCCCGGCCGTCAAGTTCGTACTTTATCCCTATACCGACTGAGTTATCCCGGCGCTCAACGTACTACGCCACCATTTTCTTGTAGTAACTGAGAAAAATTACGAAAAGGAACTTGGGCAGTACAGACAGGCTCCAGAAGAAGTTTGGAAACTTGGGCTTCCAAAAAACGAATCAGAAGCACAGCAAACCCTCGTTATAACGGATTAATAACAGGGCAGGCCGCCCGACAGTACACCACAGGATACACAGCCTATACACGCAACAAACCCAGAAACGCACAATGCGAAGGTTCTTATACTGGGGGTTCTTTTTTATTTTAAGCAGTTTCGTAACTACAGAACCTTATTAGTGCCTCAGCATTTCTAAAAATCCACAATTCTACACAGCCAGATTTTGTCCGCTATAACGAGGCTCTACTGTATCTACAGATACACACTGGAGCTAGAGAGATTAGGTTGTGAGGATGAGAGACGGGTGAGACTGGCTCAGAACCGTGTCCAGTGGCGGATAACAATATTAAAGACCTGAAGACATCGGGTTCTGCTACCACAAGGACATAAATTTTAAGGAAGATACACTCGTAGCCGTAATGGGTTCCCAAATAACAAGATTCTCATCAATTCGTCGAATTAAAAACTAAGGACAATAATCAGGAATCTATTTTTGATTGCTGGCAGGGGTAAGAGATTTTTCTCTTATTCATACAATACAAACCGGTTCTGGTCAGCACCCAATCTCCATTCAATGACTCTTTCACCGCAGCCAGCCAAAGAGCCGGAGAGTGAACCTGACCACTCACCTCTATTTGGTGCCGATGTTAAGAATGCCTTTACTGTTTCAAAAGTTTTTATGGTGCAGTGCTTAGTTAAGTACAGGGACAACTTAATATTCCAGGAAAATAAAGGTTATTTAAAATTTTGAAAATTTGATATTGTCCGGTGCGAAGGTAGTTAAACTTTCGTGTCCAAGAGGTCACAGACCACGCGAAGACAACGTTCCTTCGAAACCCGTATGTACCGGGACATGTGATATTCCTTTTTGCACGGGTTCCTGACGGAAAATAATTCTGAAGTGGCCAGTTAATTCACCTCTACGGCTCACAGTTTGCTCATCCTTGACCGTGTTTTCTGAACATTCGAACAAAAAATAAATTCCCTGGCCTGTAGTCCGCAAGCGAACTATACCGACCGAGCGACTGCCGTTTATCGGCGAAGTTAGTGCCAACTTTAGCGGATAGAGGGTGTCACGTGGTCACGGCAACGCATCCCCACGGCCGTTAATCTCGATTTTCTAGACCGGCGCCGTTACATTTTCATTCAAGTAGCTCGTCGATTATCCTCACGAGGCTGAGTGGACCCCGTTCATAACCCACTACTTCTCAGAAAATCTGGTAACACAGGGAATCGAACCCGGGACCTCGGGGTCTGTAGCCTCTAATCACTAGATCAGAGAGGCGGTCTTCTGAACAATCAGAAATAGAAAATATGTTAGGCCTAGTATTCTAATCACACTTCAGGTAAGTTTTAACATTCTGAATGTTGACATCGGTCAACGTCAGGCTATTAATTATAAGGATCGAATTTCTAGTAAACTAATTGTTTAAAAAGCAGTTTCGAGAGGGGGGTTCATTAGGGTTTTTGAGAACGGGGTGCCGTAGAGAATACTTCAGAGAACTGGAAAGTAACAGGAGAGTCGAGAAAAGATACAGAGGAATGAGTTTCATAATTTGTATTTTTTCGGCAAACATCATTACGGTTATAAAACAATTGGGGATAAGATGGGGGGGACGTATAGCTAGCACGGGGGGGGTCACTTAAGATATACTTATGTTAAATGAAGTAACAGACGGTGAAATCACAAAAGCTGAACAATAATTAGGCCAAATTTTCCTGTCTTCCCTCGAATTACGCCCTCCCGCCACCCTCGCAATGCTCTGCTCCCGTTTCGCCGCGTTTCTCTCGATCGGCCGGCAAGCAATTCGCATTAAAGTGAATGCCACTAATTGAAATTCTATATAAATTACTTAAGCGCATTAAAATAAAATTCTATTTCTTTTCAGACTTACATATAACGGGGAGCACTTGTATAGGCTATGGTCTAACAGACTTACGGGGGAAGGGTAAGGGGCACCTGGCTACTGAGAGCCACCGCATCTTGGTACTTAACGCCAAACCATTATCAACAACATGGCAGTCATGCGAACTTGTGAGGTGGGCACAACATTATCGTTATTTAATGAGGTATTACAGGACTTTTGCATGGTGAGACGAGCACATCTTTAAAAAAACAAATTCGCAGCTCTCTACAACGAATGGAAACTGTTAAGACCTCGCGAAATATTTGTGCCACAGCTACAACTGATGAACCGTAACTTTTCATAGGCCATGACAAATCTGTGAGACTAAGTTCTTTTTCTGAATTGGACTGTTACTCCACTGGGAGTATATACAATTATGAGATCCTGGCAGGGTGCCACGTATTCGAGCTCCAATGTGTCATTTTGCTGTCATCTGAATAATGCTTCGTAAAAAATTAAAAGTTCCGGATTAAAAGTGTTAATTATATGTACCTTAAATGTAGCAAAACGAATTAAAAACCACTAGTTAAAAGTTAATAACAGGGACACGCGGTAGCGTAGTTGGTTGAGGCACTATGCTATAAGCTTGAAGGTCACTGGATTTTTTCAATTGACCTAATCCTTTCAGTAGCACTATGGCCCTGGGGTCGACTAAGCTTCTAACAGAAATGAGTACTAGGAATCTTCCTAGGGGGTAAAGGGCGGCCGGCGATTAAGGCTGACAACCTTACCACCATCTGTGAACCGACTGTCTAGATAATGTGGGAGCCTCGACGTCTCACAACCCTATGGGCCTTCACGACCTGTTACAGGGATAGCTTTACCTTTGCCTTCTTTAAGTTAATAACAAAAATTGTTGTAGTTGAGCTGCAGAGCAATAGACGAACGTATTAACAAGAATATTTTCAAAAGAGTAAGGTAAAATACAGGTTGACTAATGATTAACGAGTTAAGCAGCCATGAAAACGATTGGGGGACTGGAAGTATAGCTCCACCATTCGTGACCTCGGCACTAGAGGGAGGTGGGTATTCATCTTCACTCCTCGACCATTTTAACACCAGTGCCCACTGTATGGGATGCTGGGCGGGCCCCGGGGCCAGTGTGGACACAGCGGAGACGATAACATTTCTTTTCTATGGCAGGAATCGAACGCCGGCCGTCTAACCCGTATCCAATCGTTACACGAACTCAGCTATTCACAAAACAGTAGAGTCCATTATTCGTCTGACTGCATCACTTCAATTGCGAATGCTTTGCTACGTACACATACAAGCGCCTCAGCCCCTTTCATCTTACCTGACGCTGATTCCCATGGAATGTTCTGGTGGTCCCGTCAGGTATAGAGGCTGCTGGTACGCTGATGGGTCGTTCATCACCATGCCATCTGCGGGCTGACTGCCCATCATCTGGGGTTGCTGGTAGGACGCCATGTTGCCTTGGGATGGATGCTGATTGGCGGCTTGCTGGTGCTGCTGCTGTTGTTGCTGATGGTGCGGATTAATTGGAGGAATGTCGAACTCCTCGTCACCAAAACTGGGCGTATGAAAAGTCTGCAACAAATGATAAATAGAATTCCCGTTAAGAAGATCAAATTAAGTTAATCACAAAGCGATCTTAATGTGTAAGTACGATATACAGTAATACACTTCCAAATCTAACGGGGAAAGCATTGTTGAAATGGCGCATCCTAGCATGTCAACAGTGGATACCGAGGTTCTGTAATGGTCTGCTACTGGCTGCGTTTTTAGACCTGGCTGTTCTCAACAAAATGTCCAGTGGATTAGGTCGAGTCCACTAAATGTTACGAGCAGTGAAGGGTGTGTAAGGGTTATAAAAGGGCCTCAGTTATAGGTCGTTACTCCCGTAATGCAGCTGCAGCCACTAGCCCGCAACTTCTTCCCAGTTCTCATAGAAATCCCAGAGGCCTGATCTAAAATCACAGTCTGTACAACAGTCCAGTAACAAACAGCAGTTTGTTGGGCACTGCCTATCTTCTGACGTAAAGCAATATATACTGGTCACGTGTATTAGTGACTATAGACGGGGTTTGGATTGGATTTATTGCACCTTATACATTCACACTCGGGACTACAGGTAACCCAGCGATATCGCTGTTCACTGCTGCACACGCACTAGAATTCTCAGTCTTCGCTATTCGTATCCAGCTTTATCTTTTTCTGCCTTACACAATTAATAGAACAGCAGAGAAGAGAAAGAGAAGAACACGTTTACAGACAGAGCTCTGACAAATGCTGGGACACTACCTTCAATTAAGCATGAGGTGATACTCGACCCTGGTTTCCAGTTCACTAGCGTCAATTTAGAACTTCTTTAAGGACGATCTCTGTAATAATTAGATTAAATAGTGCCGAACGATACGATGATAATGAACTGCAAAGGATACAGAATGGGCGGCCGAAGTATCGGGCTATATATTTTGACATGACGCCTGAAAGCCGGAATAGTGGAGGTAGGATGGAAGTCCATTGATAGGCAACGGTTTAGTAAGCACGATCCCGTGATAACAGACATTCTCCACGGTTACCGATGGACTATATGTATATGAAACCGTGCACAGAAGAACGAGTTATTCGTAAGACAGTCGTCTTTTAAGGCAGTAGTAGAAGTGACCGATTCGTCAATAAAAACCGAGTCAGTCGCAGTGAAACAGAGGGAACTCGTACTCCAGAAGGGAATGGAGCGAGTATTAGGAAGTAATCAATTGTGAGCTGATATAATCGACTGTAATTGTAACAGAAGTGTCAATAAATCCAATCATCCAATCCAGAACCCGTATTATTCGTCACGGAAATTCCTCATCCGTGAAGATATACTGTCACTTCTTACAGGAAATCCACTTCGAGGACCTACTGACGAAGATTTCTTGGAGACAGAAAATTGTTAAAATCGCAACATTTACTAAGAAGTTACATTAAACGTATAAAATGCAAAGTTCATTCGATAAAGCAGACATATGCACAACACTCAGCAAAGAGCACGCTGAAAGTTGCGTGTTATAATGAAATGATATATTCAGAGCCGCATGCATCACACACTCTGCTGAATCAATATTATTGATGGAGGGAACGTTCAGCTGATAACTGACGAACTGCCGCTACACAGAATATTTTGTTAAGTGAGAAGACGCCTGAAAGCCGGCAACGACTCGGTAAACAGGTTCCCGCGGAAACGAACACGCAAGCAACAACAGAAGAACCCGTTTCTAAACACTGGATCGTTAAACACATAAATATGCGTACTGTTGGAAACGGTACTTTCNTGAGAAGACGCCTGAAAGCCGGCAACGACTCGGTAAACAGGTTCCCACGGCAACGAACAGGCAAGCAACAACAGAAGAACCCGTTTCTAAACACTGGATCAGTAAACACACAATATGAGTACTGCTGGATGCTCGGTCCTTGCGAAGTGGTTATGAAGAAGAGTTCTGTTGAGTGAAGTGAGAGGAAGTAGCTGAATGGGTCAGTTGGCAGTTCCGGTGAGAGTCACCCCGTGAAGAGGAGACAAGGAGGTTGGTGTGAGAGGACCGCCAGCCTGGAGTTAGTCAAAGAACTGAAGTTCAGTCGTTGTGAGCTGTTACTGAGGCACGGGGATAGTTGGGGAACCTAGAGCAAGAGGAATGTCCGCCGTTGAAAGCCGTTACCAGGCAACGGAGAGTGGAGATTGTAATTGACTAAGAACACTAGTCTGTGTGAAACATTGAACTATAAAGTGCAGTCACGAGTTGTGTGTATAAGTGGTCAATAAACTGAGTCACCAATCCAAACCCCGTCTATAGTCACGACCCCTAAGTCGTGACGATATCACGATTTCGTCAGTGAACCTGAACTTCATAGTGTCTAGTCCGACCTTGCATTCACCTCACATACTGATTACTCGAACTTGGAAGCCTAAATGACTCCGTCACAATACGTAAGCGCAAACTGGCTAGCACTCAACTCTCCATCTTAACATGCGAGCGACGGGAGTAGCCTACGATCTGCAGTCCAGACCAGTGAACTGCTCTTGGTCCTTGGTCGTTCTTGGTATCGGGCCCCGTCAGGACTCATGGCCTTATTTTTTTGTCTTTGCAGACTTTTACGTGATTTGAAATGGGGCCTCCTCTTCGAGTACAGGTGGGGTCTGACTAGTACTGGTCACTCCATCTCTGCTGGAGAGTGACTGCTGGCTCTCTCTGTGCAATCACTCACTCCCAATTAACTTCAACTCGACGGACCTCGAACGAGAGTTGTCATCTATAACTTCGGGTCCGACCACCGAGAAAACACCGCCTCCAGCACTTCCTCTACGCTCTGCATGTTAGCAGTACTGTATTTTATACTGAGAATTAAACAATGACGAAAAACGAACGAATAACAGAGACAAAGATTCCACAATTGGCAATTGCCAATCGTTTTAGATCTAGGAATAGCAGGTTCGCGCATGTCTAGAACTGCAATTGCGATCAAAAGGCAAACATGTGCCATTATTTTGAAAGGATCTGCCTTCTTAGATATACTGCCGTATATTCCGTTCAAAGTCAACGCTTGCTGCCTGCTTCATAATGGGCTTACTCTTTAGTCGTAAAGGTGGAAGCAAAATTTTCTTCCGAAACGTCGGTTGACATTCAATGTACTACTCGTATATGGCATTATGTCTCATTAGATAGACGGCTTCATACCGCTTTGAGAACCTCAAAGACTGCATAACGCTCGTACAATATTCCTAAAGGCGCGTCCACATTACTCGTGCTCGTGTGACTCGCTATGCTAGCGAGTAATGTGGACGATATGATAAGTCACGAGACAAGCAAATTTAAAATTTTTACTTTAAAAACTATAGCCAATAAATTAAAATACGACTACAGCCTATACACACTACGAGTAAATATACGGATCCTCGCGCGCCGAAGCCTGGCGAGCAACTGAAGTAGTGTGGACGAAGATTTACGAGCACAAGTAAAAGCCAGACGAGTCTCCTGACCCTCCCGACGAGCATAAGCCTGGCGAGCACGAGCAAGAGTAATGTGGGCGCGCCTTTAGACTCGCCGAATGTAGCAACTCCGCTATGGATGAATGCATTAGAGGCCACGCTACAAGTTACTGTGTTAGCCCCGCTATATTTCAGGCTATAATCAAAAAGCGTCGGCAACGCATCAAAACTACATTTCCGCTTCGAGTTACTCAACATCAGAAAGACTCAGCCTCTTTGTGACGTAAGTACGATGAACCAGAAGAAATTTTTCACGCGTAACAGAACTCAGTACCGCACATCCATTTTAACGAGATATTCGGCTTAGATGTGTAGCACAGAATTTGGATCCAATGAGAAGCAAATGTACATAACGTATTGAACAAGGCGAGCGTCCACCATTTCGAAACCTTTTACAGAGCAGGCATATATAGCAGTAATTTGCTTTACTTGAAGTTCGAATCCCGATATGTTACCGGCTATACTGATATTTATTGTGGTTTCTGACATATATGAGGTAAAGTTGTCCACGTGTTTAACTAATTAAACACTATGATATGAAAGGCGCATTGGAGGAGTGGATGTATAGATACATATTTTCTTGACCTCGGTACTAGTTGGAGATGAGTAGTCAGCTTCATGCCTCTACCGCTTTACAACCGGGTAAAGAGCCCCCGGCACCCATTGGATAGGAGGTTGGATGGTTTTTCTCATATTCCTTCTGTTAATTATACACGATCACGTCCCAGACATAATTCGACATTAGATTACTTCTCTATAGCTGAAAAGGCGTCGTTAAATAACATAAGAACTACCAATCAACAAATACTTTTCATCCAGATACTTCTTTGTATCGCCATAAAGGTAAAAAAGGGTGAAGCTATCCCTGTACGAGTAACAGGACGTGAAGGCTCATAGGGTCGTGAGAGGTCGAGGCTCCCACATTTTCTGCACCAGTGGTTCTCAACCTTTGTGAGACTACGGCCCGGTAATTTTTTTATAAGACTAGGGCCAGGTACAATTGACGCCATGGCCCGGTACCGTACGCGGCACGGCGATTGAAAAACACTGTTCTAGATAGTCGGCTCACAGAAGGCGGTGAGGTTGTCAGCCTTACGCGCCAGCCGCTATTTACCCCCAAGAAGAATCCTGGTACTCATTTCTGTTAGAAGCTGAGTCGACTCCAGAGCGATAGTGCGGCTCGAATGATTAGGTAAATAAAAAAAAAATCCAATGACCTAATCGGGAATCGAACCCGTGACCTTCCAGCTTGTGGCATAGTGTCAGTAACAAATACTATATAATTCTATTTTATGCTCACTGTTCTCACACTTCAGTACACAATACATCAATAGCTTCTTGACTAACGTCTTCATCTGTCTCTCTTTCTATGCTTACAGTAGCTAAAGGAATATGATAATTCTACAAGGAAAGGAGAAATGGTTTATACTCTCCCATAAGAGGCATCTCGAAAAAATGTGAGACATTGGGATAGGGTGCAGACTGGATTCGTCTGGTCCAGGATATGATCCAGTGGCGGGCTCTTGTGAATACGGTAATGAACATTTGGGATCTACAAACG